TCATCCTGCCTGGCCAGAAGAAGTGTCACCACATCAGCAGAGCCACGGCCAAACAGATGCTGGAGCGTGAGGTGTATCTGCACCAGGAGTTGATTAATTTGCTGCAGGAGATTGAGAACAGCAAGATTGCAGAGGAAGGCTGGTTCTTTTCTGGGTGGCTCTTTTGGACTGCTGTAGTTGCCCTGGTCCTGCTTGCTGTCATCTGCTGGCTGGTCAGGCGCAAAAGGAAGCGTCAGGCGTCTCCTCAATCGATTAGAGTCTTCTGTCCTGATCTCCCAGAAGAGATTGATGAGATTGAAATTGGATTAAGTGTTTATGACCACAATCGCACCAGGCGCAACAACTTGACCTTGGATGTGCCCAGATCTTAAGTTTGTCCAGGTTGTCTGGGTGACATCCCTTGCTTCCATCGTGTCAACTGCTTCATTAAGGTTTCTTTGGTTCCATATAGGACTAAAGGAGTTATATTAAAATTTGGGAAAGCAAGCATTGCTGTGTTGGTTTTGGCCCGGTATTCAAAGCAGGACTTGTGCTGGTAACTTCTGCTGCAGTAGTTTTCCATTGAGGCTGGGTATTTTCCAGAAAGTGAGACAGAAATGTTGACAGCTTCCAGGACCCCCCCTAGTCATCAGCTGGTACAGCTGACTCATCCTGTGCCTGCCTCTGTGCCTCTGTGCCTCTTCCTGTCTCCCCACCCCTGCATCTATCTCCCTGCACATGTGTATGCTGCCGGCATTGCCGGTGCTCCAGGGTGGCTCTGACCACTTGTGTGGCATGTGCCATGCAAGAAGCAAGAGCCAGCTTGCTCCATCCATCCTCCCAGCTATGTCTCCAGAAACCTTGCCAGTCCTTCCTCTTCCAGGGTTTCTCACCTGACCTCTCTGCTTCTTGTAATTTGGCCCATCAGGGTCCTCTGCACTCTTCAAAGCCCACAGCAGCCACAGATCCCCTGCCCTTTGCAAACTCTTTTGGAAAGTCTCAACATGCCCTTGCTGCAGCATGCTCCCCCTGCACCACCACACCTGTGGGCACAGCACAGAAGCTCCTCATGCAAGTGGCAGTTCATCTGGTGTGTGATGTGGTTGCCAGTGTGTAGGGAACAAATTTTTAAGCAAGGCTCTGAGCAAGTATTTCCAAGCTATGTCATGCAGGGCCAGCTGCCCTTTCTCTGAGGGAGGGGTGCATTGTTACTCCTTAACAGCCTTAATTGCACAACCTGCATTTTTCTGAAATTGGAGGATTTTTGCCTTGAGTCTGCCTTTTCGAAATGCCTTGCAGCCCTTCCCTTTTGCCTGAGCTCTGATGTGCATCTGTGCCCCCCACCCCTGACCCCCATTAGCCCAAGAGGCAGCTGCCTTGGTTCATACTCGTCCTTTCTTGTCTTGGAGGATGAAGGAGAGCTTCTCTTCACCTCCAGCTTGGTGGCTTGCAGGCACTAGGTCATTATCATAGTCAGCAGGCTTATCTGAGGATCTTTCCCATGAGAGCAATGCAAAGGCAACAAGAAGCTGGGTTGTCCCCTAGGCCTTTTCCAATAGCCCTTTCGCTCCCCTTCACTTCCCCCCACCCCTCCTCCTCTTCCCTATCCTTTGTCTTGGCTCTGAGCCAGTGCAATTCCAGCCAACTTGGGCGCACGGGGCTTGGATGCACGTGCCTGTCCTGTTTACCAGGATAAAAAGGGCCGGTGGAGGGAGATGCAAGCAGAGACACAGGCAGGAGCTGGAAGGAGGACGCAGGGAGAGGCACACAAGCATAACTGAGCAGAAAAACACAGATGGACTTGGATGTGCAGGCAGCCCCGGGCAACCTGAGCCTTTTCTGAGAGCAAGACACGCAGACAGGGCTGCACGTGCAGGCAGGCACATGGGGACAGGACACTGGCACACACCGAGGGGAGGCGGATGAGCAGAGGAGCAGAGAAATACCAGGCAGGTAATGAGAGACAGGGAGAGGAGAAGCTGCAGAGACCTGTGGCGAGGGGAAGCAGCAGGAGCTGCTGTGCAGGGCATGTGCCCTGGTGTGTGCCACAGCCCCTCTTCCCAGGAGAAGGGGTGAGCAGCTGGATGAGTCTGGCCTTCTCTCTCGTGTCTCCCCTCTGGCTGGATCTAGACTGTAGCTATCAGCTGCTTTCAGTGCCTGGACCCCACCCGGAGCAGTTGCCCTCATTTATAGACAGTTTCCTGCTCTTGGCTGCCTCACAGACTTGTAGGGAAAAATACAGTGAAGGAGGTTTCTTGAATGTTGAATGCTGACCTGCACAAGGCCAAACCCAACAGCCCAGAAATGTGGGCTCATTAATGCCACCATGCATACTGAGCAGAGAAAGTAAAATCCTTTCTCAGTCAGGAAATTTTGAGACTGTCTCCTGGCTGGAATACTTGTTTGGCAGATCCAGCCTCTTGCTATAGACTTGACATGAATGATCCTTTTCCTCTTGGCTCCTTGATCTCCCTGAGCTGTCTCCCCACCCTCCACCAAGGAGAACAATAAAGTCCCAGTCTTCAACAAGACTGTTTATTGAGCCCCCTTGTAGCAGAGGCTCCAGACCACATGAGAAGTGCAAGGGGAGCTGCCCAGAGGTGCACTGCCCAGAGCCTGCCTCACACACATCCTCCTCCTCCTCCTCTTGTGGCTCTGGCACTGCAGATGGGAAACCAAATCCCTGTCACTCTCTCTGAGCCACCAGAGTCTGCTGCAGGTCACTTCCTGGAGACAATGGCTTTATTCCTTGGACCACTGGACGGCTTTTGGCACAGGAGCCAAATCAGTGAATGGAAATCTCCTCCCTGTGAGCTGCAGTGACATCCTGCTATTGTTGGCACCCCTTGGCAGGTTTGTTCAGCTGCTTTGTACCAGTTGACATCTCCGGGCTTTCATCAGTGCGTCAGCATCACCCTAAGGCACATGGGCTTCCTGACCTAGTGCCCAAGGAAAACCCTCTTCTTCTGTTTACAGTCAGGATGCGAAAGTAAAGGAAGCTGAAATGCTACTCAGGAATCCACTCCAGGCTTTAATCACCACTGTCACTGCTAGAAGACGTGGGGAATGTTGAAAAATAATCACCATGCTGTGTAATAGGATGCAGATGTTCAGGTTGTGATCTGTGCAGACACTGTGACCTCCTGGCTACTGGAAGACAAGCCCTAATCAAAACTCTGGAACTGAAAAAATTTTTTCCTGCGAGCTTCCAAGAAATCTGGAAGCCCTTTGTGTGTGATCAGTAGATGTACAATGGCTCTGAACACAGCTTTGGTTATGTGAGGACAGGTCTCTCTGTTGACAGCACAAGAGAGCCGAATGGGGCAGACAGGGTTACATGCGTCTGGAGCTGGTTTGGAAAGACCCTTGCTGGACAAGAATATTAAAATTATGAGTGTCTTTAAGCTGTAGGGCATTAAGGGACATACACACGTGTATGCATACAATATGCATGCACTCACACCTCCCTGGGAAGGACTGTGGGCTGATGAAGTCCTTTCCTTTCTGTTCCTGGCTGGCCACGTTTGGCCCGTGCTACTCTTTCCCACACAGGAGCTGGCTGTCTGGGAGTTGCCAGGGCAGTTTTGGGAAAAGCAGAGGAAGTAAACTGCCTTCCCTTATGGAGCATCACAGTCCCACCATGCCCTAGAGGGAGGCAAAATTGTGCAGACTTCCTTCATGTCATGATGAATTTTCCTGGAGCTACAAGAGTGCTGGCATGAGAGAAGAGGTCCCACTGCAGCCAGTTGTGCCATCCATCCCAGTCTCCTTCTCTCTTCTCCTCCATCCCTCCACACAGCCAGAGACATCTATGCTGGGGACTGCTGAGCCACTGTGGGCATCAATGCTCTCAGAAGAGGAAGAGGAGGCAGAGAGATTAGGAGGGGATCAGAACTGCATCTTCCCGAGGTACCAAGGTTCCCAGAAATGAGCTTTGCACTGGCCAAAAATATCAGCCAAGCAGCACAGACGCTCTCCCTTCCACACACACCTCATTGGTGCAGACAGTTACGGCAAATCCCAAAATAGCAGAGTTAGATAAATACAGAGAAAAGGGTTTACAAATTTCCGAGATGGTGACAAACAGCAGTGCTCGCTAAGGAGGGGAGCTCTTTTTAGCTCAAAGGCTTTTTCTTTCTGAAGATCCTTTCCCCACATTGAATAAAATATAAGGGTACTTTTCAAGCAAAATGCCCTGTAACTTGAAGACTGAGTGATAGGAGGTGATGCTGGGGGCTGCACTGAAGAAGAGAGAAAGTATTCTCTGCCTGCAAGACAGAGAATAGTCTGAGCTTCAAGTTTACTTTTTCACAGCTCCAATGTTTTCTGCCTGCTTAAAGCCTGAAAGAGTAGCTGTTTAGGAAGCACGTAGGAAAATAAGTATGTAGCTGGATCTGGGAACCAAGTTGCCTGCTTTTTCACCCAGCTCTGCTGAATGCTTCCTCTATTGCCTAGCATCTATGTATGGATACACATCATGGTACCAATTTCACTGTAGTCAGTGAAGCATGTTCACCTGCCATTTAAAGGCATCAGCTCACGGGAAACCTTCCCACACTGCAAATGACCTACTTTAAAATCAGAATTTTTCATTATATCTGCTTGTCATGCCATACCTGTTGAGGATGAGGAGAACCTACAGCCAGCTGTATGTTGCCTGCTGGGGATGCACCATCCTCTGCCAGCGCTCCCAGAAGGCACAGGGGTGCTGCTGAGGTTGGGGTAAGGGGTGAAATGGACTGGACACCATCCTCATTTTACTGTCAGATAGGCACCGGGAGAGAATGCTGCCTATATGAACACCCCAACAGAGGAACCAACACTTCTTCCTGAGCTCCGGCACTTTCCGTGGTGGGGGCACTGGGACAGCGGCTGCTGCACCGTGTAGAGGGCAGCCCAGGGGATGCTCGCCCGGCTGAGCTGCAGCTGGGCTTTCAAACCAGACTGGGAGCACTGGGAGTAACGGAGACCCTGCCGGTGCCCCTTTCTCAAAGGAGCATTGTTATTGCACGGAAATGACCTTTGGAGTCCAAATGTCTTTATTTAAAATGAAACAAAACCAACCCTAACTGCTCTTTAGGCAAAAACAAATTAGCTGTTATTGCTGCACAGCTTTAAATACACTGTGGTGATCTTCCACACTTCTCTGTGCCTGCCTGGTCAGTGAATACACGGTGCTGCCTTAACTCCCAGCTCCTGCCACTCCCACGCAGGTGAGAATGGCAGGAAAACCGGCAGGTCTCCTCCCGCGCCTCGTATTTAATTTCACCTCGGTGAAAAGACCTTAAAATGACCAGAAAAAGAGGAAAGTAGTTGGGTTGGCTTAAAACTGTTGATCAGGAAGCAAAAACCACTGCAAGTCTGAAGTATATTATTTTATATTTTAAAAAAACCACCGTTGGTTCACCAGGGCTCTCCTCTTTCTTCTGTCCCTGCCAGGAGTTGATGGCTTTTTTCAAGCATCTCCCTTTACTGTCACTTCAGCAGAAGTTTGCAGGAGCTCTGCTTCATCTGTCTCTTGGCTGGGTGGTGAAAATGAGCTGTAAAAAGCAAATTTGGAAATCAGTTCCTCTGGCTGCATGACTCGTTTTTTTCTTTTAAAAGCACCAAACTCTTTTCTTGGACCTTTATGTCCAGAGCGCAAAGAGTTTCCTGGCCAAGTTTGCGGTAGCAAAAATGGTGTGTACTCATATTCCTCCTATTCCTCCTCCAGCTCCCTCCTCTTTTACAGCCCCAGCCAAACATGGCTTGTGCTAAAAGTTTGTGACCCTTGCATGGTATTTTCTGAGCCTTTTCAAGCCAAACCCAGAGACTGTTTCCAAACAAACTTAAATTTTCCATTGGGAGCTAGATAATCGCAGTGCAGAGGAGGACACTAAAACCAGAGCCTGTGCTCTGGAGTTGCATATTTCCATAGCATCCTTCATCCAGGAAAATTCCAAAAGCCTACTGAAGGGTGCTTCTAGCTGTGACAGGTGAGCAGTCAAGCAACGTGTTTGCCCGGAGGACGTTGGTATTTGATCAGCTGGTTTAGGAGGCAGGAGGGGGCTGCCCAGGGCAGCCAGGGGAGGAGGGCTGGGACTGGCCCAGGGAAGGGGGCCTGGTATGACCATGCCGCTGCAGTGCAAGCACAAAGCAACCCAGACATCTTGTGCCTGCGCTGGGGAGCAAAGCCCCTGCACCTTGGAGCCACAGGTACTGCCAGTGTGTGCCCCTGGGGCTTCTGCCCCGCTCGGGGTGCCAGTCGAAGGGGAGCTGTGTGCAGGGGCACAGAGCGGGCAGGGGCTTTCTGCCCCAGCCCCTGCACGACCCTGCGTCCATGGCAGGAGACTTCCCAGCCTGAGCAGACACGCTGTCTCCTCTCTCTAATTGCAGCCTTGTGCCTGTTCCAGAGTGGGAGCTGGCTCCTTCCCCTCCATTGCATTGTCTCTTCCCACAGCCCAGCTCCCACGGGGCTCACGGCTTTTCCTCTCCGGCTCGCAGCCCAGCTCTGTCTCACTGGCTGTGTCTTGCCCCTCACATCTCAGCGTCATCTGCTCTCCCTTCCTCCTCCTATTAATCTAGATTTTCCTTTTTTTAGCCACCACTTTACTGTGCTCCCTTGTAGAATCTTTTGCTTAGAAGTCCAAAAAGCAGTGGGGCTGCCCTGTGGAGACACAAAGGTGGGCTGCCTGCTCCAGAGGCTTCCATCCATCCCCTTCACCTTGTCTGTGTGCTGGGCTGCAGAGATCCTGGCTGTGCCCGCATCCTGGTGGGGATGAGAGGGCCCAGAGCCCAGCTGGACAATGGCAGCACTGTGCTGGAGAAAGCAGCTCTGTCCGGCTGCCACCGCGGTCCGCATCCGCTGAGCACGGGGCAGGGGAAGGGTGTCCCTCCGTGCCCCGGCATGCCCCTCCCTGGGCAAAATCAGGGAGAAGATGGAGGGATTGATGCCTGAGAGCAGCATCATCCCACTCCCCCACGCACTGTGAAGGCTGATGCAGGGACTAGGGTGGCTCTGCTTCCACCAGGCATCGGCTGGGTCACACAGAGCTTGGACATTTGCTCTGCTGCAGACTCCCAGGGGAACCTTGGGCAGGTCCCTTGGGCCACGCTGGTGCTTTGTGATCCCTGCAAGGCATGGAGGCTGCCTGGGCCAGCTGCACAGCTGGCTCCCTGCACCTCCACACTGGAGGTGTGGGCTGGGAGTCTAGGTATGGAGCCACACCAGTGTGCCCCCAGCCCCAGACCAGCACTGCACACAGGGCCATGGGATGCACCAGCTCAGGGGTCTCTGAGGCAGCCCCGTGCTGCGTGGGTTCGGAAAACCCACGGACTCTCCCTGTGTCCCTTGCCCAGGTGGCACTGGGGGGGACAGTAGCACAGCTCTGCTTATGGGGACCATCAGACCGACCTTCTACAGATCCTGAAAGCACTTCTGGCATCACTGCTGGGCTGCTGTAAAAAGTGACTTTCTCATTCCTGTCCATCAGCAGCACCTCTCAAAGCAATGAGTTACCAAAAGGAGTGACTGCAGCATCAAAATAATATTGCTGCCACTGGCAAAGCTGTGGTGGCACACAACACCCCTGAAGAGGGCAGAAAGAGGGAGCTCTGGCTGCAAGCCAGAGAGGAAAGCTTCCAGTCACAACGTGGTGGCAGTAGGGGCTGGCTGCTTTGCTCTGGGGCCTTCCTGAAGCCCTGAGTGGGACAGGAGTGGGGAGAAATGCCCACATGAAGGCATTGCTGTATGCCTCACCCAGAGAAAGAAAAGGCAGCTCTTTCCAAGCTTACCAGTGCACTGCCTGCCAGCATCAGTGGGGAAGAAGTCACAGCTTACTTCCTTCTGAGCTGTCTCTAAAGTGTAGTTTGTGCTGAGACAGATGCAACCTTGAACAGAGACTTTCCCATCAGAGCTATAAACCCCCTTTGAACCCTGGCTTGGAAAACACATATTTCTGTTTCTTCCTCTAAGGTTGTCATCATAAAAAGAACCAGAAAGGGCTCTGCACACCCATGGCTAGAATCAAGGGCCTGTTTGGGTTTCCCTCCATGCCACAATTCCTTCCGTGCACACTTGTGCACATACAAGCCATGGGCAACATCCTGATTAGAAAGCATCCCTGCAAGACTTCTTTTAGTTCTTAGAGAAAGGGCACAATTCCTTTGCTCCAGCTCATGTACTGAAACTGAGCCTTCCTGCTTCTGCCCTGCTGGGATTAGAAGATCAGGCTGGGAGTTAGGGACCAGGAGGAAGTTGCTGGTCCTGGGTGTTCCATCCTATCCATGGGGGCTGTAGTGGAGCCATCCCCTTGCAGCCACAGGTATGTGGGGAAGCTCCCTCATGCAGGGTGAGCACAGCTCGTACTGGGACATTCCAGAGCCATTCCTTCCTTCGGCCTCACCAAAATGGGTCCAAATCCAGCCCCACCAGCACAGCCAGGAAAGGCCCAAGCAAGTTCCAGGCTGCAAGCCAGTCACTTTGTGGTGGGGACACCTGAAAAGCCTGGCTCCTCAGCTCCTCTGTCTGGGACAAAAGCCCTCAAACAATAGTCTGGCTCCCCAGCAGCCGCTGACCCAAAGGATGCCGTGCGCTGAGGCCGCCAAGCCCACAAGGATTAATGACAGCTAGAGGAAACCGCTCTCCGCACGCCTTGCCGTGGGATTTGGCAGTACAATAGCCAGAAGGAGCATGCAGGCTCCTCCACTTTTTCTCAGGGCCTAGGTAAATAATCCCCTGCCATGGGAGCTGTATGGATTCCCATAAAGCTGCATAATAGAAGCAGTTCCCAGGCTTATGGTTAACAATAATTTTTTTCCAGGCCACATAATTATTATTATTTTGAGAGTCAGGAACCTGGGAGAGAGTGCACAGACAGTATTTCCCCAATAAGCTCACAGTGAGCAATTTGATTTCACTTAGAAAGACTGTGGAATGGTAAGTACCCTTTGACCCTCAGGAAAGGAGCACAGTGCCCTCATGCTTGTGGACCCACCGCCCCTGCCCTAGCCAGGACTCAGAGCTGAGAGCACATGACAGAAACCGCATATCCACAGCTCATGAATTTGTCTACGGGTCTCGGATGCCACAAAAATGCTTTGGAAATTGCTGCAGGGCAGAGCAAAGAAGGGAGAGAGGAAGGAATGTGCCTAATCAGGCAGGGGAAAGCAAGGCAGCTTCTCGCAAGGGTTAGAAAGGAGCAGGGTGCAAGACCTTCTGCAGCCAAAATCCAAATATTTTGCATGGCTCATGCAGGACAATGCAGCGAGGAACTGGTGGACATTTGTTCACAGCTGAACTGACCACGTTGGAAGCCAGGTCTCTCTGGCTGAGGGTGGCAGGGCAGCTCCATGGAGCTGGCAACTTGGGGGCTTTCAGCAGGAAGAAAAGGAGGAGAGGAGTACCAGCAACTCCAACACAGGTAGGTGGTGCAGAGCACTGGTGAGATCCCACTTCTTGGTTAACTCCACATTAATTTGCATGGCTGGAGAAAAACATGCTGTGGGCAAAATCCTGCCTTTACAGGTTGGAGCAGCTGCCCTGGCAGCAGGGGTGGGATCAGCCTCAGACTTCACCTGAGGAGACAGGAAAGCTCAAGCCTGTACAGCCCCACCACACAGCACAGCACATGCCAGTGCAAGGAAACAGGATCCATGCCCTGCCGCTCACACGTGCCAGAGCCAGTCTGCCTCAGCCAAACCCTGCCCTTGGGAGCAGCAGGGCCCGGCTGGTGGAGGAGCCAGGCATGGCATGGCATGGCATGGCATGGCATGGCATGGCACAGCACACTTACCAGGGCAACAGGTGGCAGGCTGCACCCTGTGGGGGTGCCCAGCACCTTCCCAGCTATGCTTCAGGAGCCTCCTGTGTTTGCATGCTCCGGGGTAGCACTGAGAGACAGAAGACAAGATACAACTCGGTGAACATGTGGCTGACTTGATGGCTTTGAACACAAAAAGGTGATACTTGAAACATGTTCACAAGGGTGAGCAGCATCTGCGCAGGCCTCCTGTCTTGGCTTTGCAGATTCAGACTGCTGATTTTTCCAGCAGTGTCTTCACCGTCTCTAGATCTGTCCACTCTTTGTGGCAGAGATGGGCTGGGAGAACAACAGCAAGGAGAGAGACAGTCACTGGAGTGGGGGCTGGAACTAGATGATCTTCAAGGTCCCTTCCAATCCAAACCATTCTATGATTCTATGACATGTATATCTCTCCTCTCCCTGTCTCCTTGTGGGACATGGTGTTCACCTCAGCAACTGGAGCCTCCCACTTGTATCTCCTTTCACGTGCCCCTGCCGGGAGGGTTTTACCTCCTGCATATTGCATAACTGCTTTCCAGTGCCAGCACCAATTTTGCCTGCTCAGGTTACAGGAGGTTTGCAAGAGCCATCTGAAATACAGGAGCAGCAATTAAAGGGCCCAGGCCGCAGCTCCAGAGGGTCTACTTGGCCAGCTAAATGTGGAGCAATATGTGCTGGGCTTGCAGAGGAATTCATGTTCTTGGAGGGTTAAAACAAGACCAGGAAAGGTTCCTTTTTGCAGGTTTGAGGTGCAGGCTACCAAGTCAGTGGCTTGCCTGAGGCTACACTCAGAGGCAGGGTGTACACACAGCCTCCTCCCTGGCATTCAGAAGAATGTCCTAACTTTGGGAGCCTGCTTTTGGCTGCTACCTGGTTTCAAGGCATTTCATGGTACCTATGGTTCTCAGAGACATGCTGTGGAATGAAGAAATGTTGGCTTTTTTGTTTCCAGGCCTGAGTAAAGGGTCCTCAAGCTTCAAAACTTTTCTTACAAGCAAGCACATGATTGCTCTGAGGCTTTGGGAGTGGTGATTCTCTCAGCCACTGCAGTTCTACCAGTGAATGGAGACCCAAGTCCAGGGGTCCACCTTGTACTCATTGCCAGTCAAATGCATAAAAATATAGACCTTTTCCCTGTATTCAGTTCTAGGACAGGTCAATTGTCATGGGCACTGTGGGCGAGACTGTGATTTGAAAGGGAATTTTCTCTACGTAGATCATCTCCAGGGACTTTCCTGGCATTGTGCCCTCTGTAAACCTTTCTCTGCAGCCCGTGATGCTGTCATGGAAATGGGCAATTGAAGTTGCCAGAGTGTTGGTGTGGAGCACGGATAACCCCTGTCCTCTGGCTCTGCTGCTGCCCGGGGATGGATGGAGGCAGGTGGTGTGGGAGACATGCCAGTAGGGAAGGGTGAAGCAGATTTCCTGAGGGACACATGGTGTGCCTGAGCCCAACACTGCATGCTTTGCCTTGGGGAGGTAGGGTAGAGCCCAGAGGATGGCAGAACAACCCTTCCCCATGCCAGGTCCTTTGCAGGACAGGACCTGCCTGGACCACTCACTCCTTGGACCTTCAGCCGAGCCAGCCAGGAGAGGGGCTGTGTTGGACAGGGTAGCATGGGCTGGGTTTCTCGAGGGGAGGGAGATGCCAATATACTGTTTGAGCTTTGAGGTCAGTACTTCACCGAGATTCATCTTCTGCCAGAGATGGTTTGGAGGTGGTGCTGCAGGAGGCCAGCACGGTCTATACAGTTTGAGCTTTGAGGTCAGTACTTCACCACGACACTCTGCCCCTCTGGAGCAGCCAGAGGCTGCTCCCAGCAGCTCAGATGACAATGACATTCTTATCACCTTCCAACGACATTCTTATCACCTTCAATTGCTGTCATATTTGAGCCATTGCATCTGTTGACAATTCACTGTGGGGAGAGCTGAGGTGCTTTCAAAAATGTCTCTTCAGGGCCAGCCTGTGAGTGATATAATTCCTTGGTAACCTGTCAAAGCACCAGCACAAGCATCAGCTCAGCACCCTGAGAAGGAGTGGTGGTGGGATGCTGGAGAGAAAGTGAGACAGGGAGGGAAGAGACAGAGAAGGAGGTGAGTGTAAGGATGGAGACTATAACCCAGACCTTGCTTTCGTCTTTTCAAAAATGCTCCCCTGCTGTAGCACTTACAGTGAGAGAGCCCATATATTTTGTTTCTTTCTTCAGGCTTGATAGAAAAAAAATAAAAAAACAAGGCAGCAGATGCAATGGAAAAATGAAGTGAGAACAGCAATCCTCCCAGGTCACCCTCTTTTTCCTTTCCACTGTGCTTGCCAAGCACAACCCATTTCGGTCTCTGCTGACAATGCTCCGTGCTGCAGTGTGGTGTGCTCCATCCCTCCGGGGCATGAACTGAAAGAGAAACTCCTGGCAGCCCCCAGGAACTGCAGAAGTGAGGAACTCATGTAACTTCCACAAGGCTCCTGCCCTGCCGCAAAAGCTGTGCGGTGTCACTGTCCCGCGCTGTGTGTGTCAGGGGACGCTGTGAGGGTTGCGCACAGCCTGGGATGACACCATGTCCCGTGGCTGAGCCCGAGTGCGTGAGGAATGGCAGCGCAGCCTGTGATGAGGTTGCTGACAAGCCCCAGGGGGGTTGTAGACCAGTCTGTCACTGTTAATCAAAATGACTTTTTTTTTTTTTTCCCCTCTGCCTGTGCACAGCCCCCTTTACACTGAACTGCTTGTTTTTAGGTCTGTCCCAAAGAAGGGCTCCGAAATACAAAATGCTCCGTGGGAGCCTAATCCAAGGCAGAGCCCCAGGCAATACCATGTTCAGATGCCTGATCCCTTGCACTTGGTTTTGAAGAGCCTAACTCTGAATTCTCTTGAACAAAGTGCCCTTTGACCTGTGGCCTGCAGACCCTCTATTCTGAAAGGTAATTAAGGAGAGCAAGCCTTTTGCTGGCCACTTTAAATTCACTGTATGGGGCCTGCATCTTCAAAGGGAGAAAAGCATGGGAAGAAAATCAGAGAAGTTGAAAGCTACCAGTCCAAGAAACTGGAGGCACTTACAGGAGAGACTGCAGTGCTGGCTGTGGTTTATCTTTTTGTTCCCATAGGACAAGTTTTGCCTCCATTTAGAAAGCACTGCCGGACCTGGTTACTCTCACAGTCCTCCCTTAAGCATTGACTACGGAATAAATAGAGGATGTTTTCCTTCCCTGAATATCTATTTCCTTCCTAAATAAACCATGGGTGAGTCTGTTTGGTTTTTTTTTTTTTTTTTTTGAGTTTTTGTTTTGTTGTTGTTGTTGGGTTTTTTAATGGAAGAAACACAAACCAGTGGGGAACTTACAAAGCTTTTAATAGCTGTATTTGGTTCCTCAGTACCATGAGGAATGGGGAAATCACTGAACATCGAGTAAGACCTTGGGACCAGCTAACACATCCTCCTCTCCAAGGCAGGATTAACTAAACCTAGCCCATGCCTGACAGATGCTTTTTGATATGTATTTAACAGCCTTACAACCCTCCAGCCTACTCAGGAAGTGATTAATGTGTTAATGGTATTGATGTTGTTCTTCTTAGTGCGTTTAAGGCACATGAGTTTGGTTTTTCCCCAGTGGGAAAAGAAAACAGGTTCTTTTTTTTCCCCTTGCCTTTTGCAGTGACCTTTCACCTGACTGAGGCCGGTTGCAGTGGCTCCTCACAGTCTCCTCCAGGCTGGATGAAAACACAGCCCATGCCTTCTCGCCTCCCACCACAGTCAGAGTGGGGGAGGCAGCTGAACAAACCTTTGTGCAATTCTTTCACTGTCTGTGATGGTGGTGATACAGAGGGAGTGGGTAAAACCAGAACTGGTCAGATGCCATCCATGCTCTCTACTCACAGAGCTCAGCTGGGAGCAGTTCACATGCATCAGCACTGAGTGCCTTCTTCAAAACATCCAAAGGCCTGAAGCTGTGATTCTGCAAAACTGCCCTCATCATCATGAGTCACTGGACAAAGGAGCTGCTGGATTTGGACTCTGCAACCTGCTTTGAACCCTCTGCTGATATGAACCCTGGGATCTCTTCTGCTCTCACTCTTAACCTCTTACACCACTGAGCTTCCAGGAAGGCTTGGACTGAGACCCAAACACCCATTCTGTGTGGGCACGTTCAGAGGCAGGTTTTTGCAAGCCGGTCTTTGCTTCACCCATGGACAAAATTTTAATTTGGATGGTTTTCCTCCAGCCCCATCTGTTGTTGTGGCCTCACATATACAGTTCATGGCTTGTTCTTGCCTCCTACTCCTTGGCCTGCCAAAGTCCCATCCCTGTTGCAATTACCACAGCCCTGAAGCAGCCAGGTACAGTATTCCTCTCGCGGAACTGGAAAATCAATCCTTTTTATCCACAGAGAACTAGAACTGCATTTAACTATTTTCTGAGTTAGCACCAGTCTTGAAGCTAGTGAAATGTCAGGATTTGGTCCATGATTTCTGCAAGGCTGTGATATGGTAAGCTTAGGCTGATTCCTTCTGTGTAGATGAGGCCAAACTCTGTTTATGACAAGACATTGTTCCGTATCTAACCTATTGCACAGGCACACTTCCTATCTTTAGTGTTATTGTCTAACCCTATGACACCTGGGTCACCCCAACAATATTGCAGTGGAGTGCAAAATTGCCTTGCTGTATTCAGCAAGACAAAATCATGTTTGCAGGTAACATTTCAACAGCTCTCCTCAGAGCTGAAGCCTGGGGCATTTTTAGGTGCTGGGGAGGTTCCGCCTGTGGAAGGCTCTACAAAGGCAGTATGAGGCCCCTGCACTGGGGCTTTTGCTGGGACGCAGTTGTCACTGCACAAGAGATCTTTGTGATTCACCCCAGTGAATGGGCTCACAGAGGCTTTCAAGAGCAGGTGAGCAATTTTCACAACCACAGCAAGTGTGTATGCAGACCAGGGTGCACTTTATGTCGGTGGCTGGGTGCCATCTCCCAGTGGCAGGTTTTGGTTGTTCACTGACACAGGGGCCACACTCAGTCCTCACCAACCAGCACAGCAGTGCCTCTGGCAGCTCAGCATTACTGTGCTCATCACTGAATGGCCTCACCTCCATCCCCAGAGCAGCTCTGTCTCTGGCCTTGGAGATGTGGTCAATTCAACCTCACAGGTCCCCACACAGGCTGCATACAAAGGAAACATCCTCAAAATCATAAATATCTCATATATCACTTCTGTTGAGGCACAACTCAGAATTCCTGCCCTGATAAGGGAGTTTTCCAGTAGTGATCTGTGCAAAGGGTCTGTGGAAACACCTGTGATGAGTTTGCTTTCTACATGGGGTGCAAAAAGTATGAGTCTTTTTGTGACTCTCATGAGTCACACCTCTATTGCAGAAACGCAGATGCTGCTACAAACTCTCCTGATGTACACTGACCAAACACACTGCCTGTCTTCTTAGGTTCCCAGCTCCAAATGATGAATTTTGAAGCTC